GTACTATCTTTCAAGAGATATCAAAAGGCTTGCTTGTAATTGGTGAGTTTACTTTGCTTTTTTCCAATATTTCAAATTCCCGCTCAGGCAGCAAGCAGCAAAAAATGTTAGCAGCACAAAAGTGAAAAAGGAAAAGATATATCGGTGTGAAAAAGTGGGAGAACTTGCAGAACATTGTTTTATCAGAAACTCTGAATGGGTACCAGTGATCAACCAGGTAAAGTCGTATCGATGACTTTTATGCCAGATCATTACTCTCTCATAATACTATGAAACAGTTCCGAACTCAGATTCATGTGAGGACATGTGAGTCTGAATTCGGAACAGAATAATTCATCAGAAACTCATAGGTTGCTGATTAATATTTATAACTTAGATTATAAAAGTCAATAACTTTCATCTAATTCTTTTGACTGTCAAGCAAATTATCAAGAATAATATATGGATGACATTACCATAAAACCTTACCATAAATTTGCTAAACATTATTGTTTTACTTAAATCATTTTTGGGCTGCAGATGTCAATCATTTAATAGTGACCACTTGAAAATTTTACAACTAGATCTTTCCAGTTTTGATATTCGTTACGATTGATCGAATTTTCAGGCATTTCGGATGTAGAAAGTGCAGGAAGTACTGGAGTGATTCCAGGTGATGGATCGGAGAATATTGCTGCTGAACCGTTGCATATGCAAAAATTAAGTAAAATGTTGGATTTGACGCGCTTTGTTCTTCAACTCGAAGAACTGCTGACGCAGCCAATAAAGTAATGGTTTTCGGTTATAAGTTTTGCTGAGACTAATTAGTAGTTTTCTGTTCACATTGTGGAGATTTGTTTTAGAGTTCCAGGTACTTCGTTTCTTCCTTATCCAGGCACTTCTGCTAAAAGTCGACTTAATGTTGCTAGTATGTTTTCTGTGCGTTCCTTATGGGCAACAGATGACGACCGAAAGCACTGTGTCAGTCAATTGTACAATTTTAAAACCTTGAGGAGGCGAAAATGGATTCAGAGGATTTTACTAGAAGAATCTGATTCAGATTCTGATGGGGATTTCCCATTCACTATTAACGATTTGCGTACTATTTTAAAGGTATTTTTACTTCCCTGAAAAAATAAAATGTAGAAAGATTTGGCACTTCAGATTTCATATAGAATGACAATGGATATTTGTTATAAAGTACTATCAAAATTCCTAACATATGAGCAAAATATTTATGAATTTATTCTTGTTGGTTTCTCGTATATAATTCGCCATATTAGTTTTTTTGATGAACATAGCTTATTAAAATTTTTGGATAAAACCAACGCTGAAAAGTCAACTTAGTAATGCATGGTTTATTGTATTATTCTAAATGAAGGAAAACAAGGTCGCGACTTCGCATAGGAAAGTTTTAGTTAGTAAACTGGAATGATATGAATGCATTGATTACGATTCAAAATAAAGATTATGAGCTTGTTTACGTGCTTTCAGTTGCATCGTCGACGGCGAAAACTTCAGAAAACTTATCATTTTAATGATCTCAATTCTCAGTATACATATTATGGAGCCGGTCTTCTTAGCAATCATGATCGATTTCCAGAGCATCAAGATAAAATAATGGAAAAGTATGGTATTAAAGAAAAACAAAGCTGACATTTTTTGGTTTAATCGTGTTTTTCTAATTTTCAATTTAAAACAGTGTTCCTAATCTCTATTTTGTGATTTTCTTCTACATGTAGTCTAGATTTTTGATACACTCTTCAGTTCTAATTTGATCCTTAATATTGTATCGATTTGATAATATATTTTTCTTGAAAATTTTCTTAAATATTCAAGATTAGCTGTTGTCTTGTCATAATATGTGGAGAAGACGCTGGCTGTTACTATATTCTTGTGTGAGTACCTAACAATAACTTTTTATCATTTTTGTCATTTAAAGTGCGGTTTGGCTTTTATTTTATACACATTTCTAATTTTCACTTTATTTCTCTTTTTAATAATATTTTAAAACTAGCGTGACAGTAGGTGAAACAAGAATAATGCAGTGAAAAGTAATGAGCTTTGTCAAAACTCGCAAATATGATCGGAAAAAAATCAAAAATGCATTTCAGAGTAGTAAAGTAGAAAAGTTGCAGATTCCAAAACTAAGATTCTGTAGTTGAGAAGTTTAATTGCTACCTTATAATTTATTTCTTATATCTTGAGCTGAATAATTGATGCATCACATAATTATTATAGTCATTCTATCATATGTTTTGTAGATTCACTTTCTTATGTCTTTGAATTTCCTGTTTTGCATTTTAGTTCGTCTTTTGTGCTAATAAAAGTTTTTCTGCAGTTAGTTTGTATGAAATAAATGTTTCTAGTGATGAGTTTTTTTACAGTTAATAGCAGAAGATTTTAATTCAAGCAAATGTCTACTTTCTCTTATTTGTAAACGTTTGCTGTTCTTTTAAATTCTAGTATATAGTCTTTCGAGGCATAACACGATTTGCAAAAACGAAAGCGAATTTGAACCACGAGTTTATAGTGTAGTAACATTATCTGGATGGGTCTTAACTTTAATCCTTTGTTTTAAGTCGCTATCGAAAATACTTCAGTTATTTTGAGATATTTTTAACAAGGGTGCTCTGAATTTATGTTCGTGAATTCATGCTATTTGCGCGATAGTTGTCAGCATATCAACTTTAGTTTATTAATTCTTACATATATGCGCGGAAAGTGTTTTATGTATTTATGAGCACTTTTGTTCTGAATTCGGTATGTGATATTGGCAGCTTAGTTTCGCTTCCTTTACTATATGTCATGAAGTAAATTTCCATATATTTAATGGTAAAACAGATTTAATCTAACTTATGGATGTTACCCTCGCCACTAAATTGAAGAATTTGGCTATATTGCAATTCAATTACCACTCGTTTTGTTAGGATACGTGTAGAAATCTAAGTTTTCTTGGTCTTGAAGATAGCGAGATGGGGGAAGCAGCTGAATTGGCCGAGCAGCTCCTCAACCCCCGATCGATGCTCAATGTTGATGGCCTGCTTGTAAGTTAGCTTCAATTCGTTCATTGCTGGGAAGTGAATATTTGCTGAAATTCGTGTTGTACGTACTTTGCTTTTCTTACGCCACAGTTTCAAATACAAGGAGCCAGAATGCTTAATATTGATCACACAGAAATTCTAGATTGAAAATAAATTTGCTTGTTCTTGACTTAGAAGCTTGCAGAATTTTGAATAATATTATCTGCAGGATGCATTGACAGCCTTGGTAGAAGATTGCAACTATCCTTTACTAAGGCGAACGAAAAATATTGATAATTTTGTTACTCGGTGTAAGTAGTTTGTTTATAACTTTGGTAATTTTATTACTCGGTCTTAGTTTGTAAAGGAAGATTGGAAATTCTTGATTAATTGATCCACGTATTTTCAATTATCTTTTAAACAAGACAAATTATTTTACTGTTAAAGAAAATTTCTTGTTTTAAGATAAATTTATAAAGTTGTGTCAGGGAATGTTCCGTATTTTTTATTTATAATGAAGTTAAATTTTTTTTCACCAATAAATTTTAGATATTGAAGCTGTACAACAGATAACAGCACTTCGTTTAAAAGGGTCGGATTTTCAACTTATCAAAGTGATAGGGCGAGGAGCTTATGGAGAAGTACAACTCGTGCGACATAATATATCCCGGAATGTTTATGCTATGAAATTGCTTAATAAAAATGAAATGGTAAATAGGATAAGATCAAAAGAACGGATCTTATATTTATATGTAATTTGAAATAAAGTTTCAAATCATGTATCTGATATGCTAAAAACTGTCTTCAGTAATGCCCTTGTTTTATTAGGTTAGGAGAGCAGATTCTGCTTTTTTTTGGGAAGAGCGCGACATAATGGCTCATGCGAATTCAGAATGGATTGTCCGATTACACTATGCATTCCAGGACATACGTTTTTTGTATATGGTAATGGAATATATGCCTGGTGGTGAGTAAAATTTGGGAAGAATATATCATTTTATTTTGGCTGTTTTCATGATATAAATTGGATTAAAATCGGATTAAAATCTTGCGTTGTGTAATACGATATTTGAGGAATTTAATACAGGTGATTTGGTGAACTTGATGACTTCATATGATGTATCTGAGAAATGGGCCCGTTTTTATGCAGCAGAACTTGTAATGGCATTGGATACTCTTCATGGAATGGGCTATATTCATCGGGATGTCAAGCCAGATAATATGCTCATAAGTAAATCGGGCCATGTAAAATTAGCTGATTTTGGTACTTGTCTGCGAATGGGCCCTGTAAGTATTAACTATGAAAAAATTGTACGAAAAATGATTTAAGTGTGTCATTAGTACGCTTGGTATGCTAAGCAACAAAAAGCAAATTGTGAAATGAAACTAGGAAAATTGCAAAAAGCAACAAAGATGGATAAATTTTCGTAAAAAAATTATTCATTAATCTATTGAATTCTACAGATGGTCACTAAGCTTTTACAGGATGGATTAGTAAAATGTACAACTGCAGTTGGTACTCCTGATTATATTAGTCCGGAAGTCCTTGAACTACAAGGCACCGAAGGAGTATACGGACGTGAAGTTGATTGGTGGGCGGTCGGAATATTTGTATATGAAATGTTGGTGGGTGAAACACCATTTTACGCGGACTCATTGATGGGAACATATACGCGGATTAGGAATCATGCAACAGAATTGAAGTTGGTACCAACTGCAATCTTTTAAACGTTTTCGTGGCATTGCTCAAGAAAATTCGATATTGGGATCTTTCAGTTTTCCGGATGATGTTGAGATGTCAGAAAGTGCCAAAAATTTAATACGAGCTTTTTTGTCCAGCTCAGAAAAGCGCCTCGGTAAGGATGGTGTCGAGAGCATAAAAGAGCATCCATTTTTCCAAAATGATGAATGGACTTTTGAAACTATCCGGAAAGGTCAGTAAAAGGATTCTTCTACGAAAAATGAATCACATTTTTTGATTCGTCTAGCATTAATTCCTAAATATTTTGTCTTAGCCGTCCCACCAGTAATTCCGGAACTAAAAGGCGATGATGATGCTTCACATTTTGATGATATTGAAGCGAAAGAACCTGATCCAGCCGAATTCTTCCAAATTCCAAAATCTTTTGCAGGCAACCAACTACCATTTGTTGGTTTTACATATTCTAATGAAACTGGGTTAGTTTTAACTACATCAATTTGCAATTAATATGTCATTGAATATAAATTCTTTTATATTCATTTTAGTCCTGCATCGGCCATTCAGAAAAAGTTAGAATTTGCATCAAGAAGTGATACAGTGCAAGTCCGAGCTGCTTTGACCCATCTGAATCGAATTTCAGAATCACAGCTAGAAGTATGCTTTATTTCACAAATACATGTTAGTACTTTGATTCCTTGCTTGAAAGATTTGTTTGTTTTTTATTCAAATTTTGTATTTTGAGGATGAAAAACATGAACTTGAGAAAGAGTTGGCGACATACCAGGTACAAGTGAAAGATTTGTCTCGAAAACTCGATATGGAACGGGAAGAAATGGACATTAAAATCAAAATAATCACTTCGCTAGAAGAGCAGTTGACGTTGAAAGCAAAAGTAGAAGACCGTGTGAAAGAACTTGAACGGCAAATTGTTGAGGTTTATGATTTTTATTTTTTTAAATGTGATTTGATAACTGGTTATTTAAAAAAAATAATAACTACTAATTTTAAGGAATGGTCATGCTTTTGCATCTTAAGATGCTTAGTCGTTGTTTTTTTCAGCTCAATGAAAAATGTCGTCATCATGCAGAATCTGAAGAACGCTGCAGAAAGCAACAAACTGAATTACACACTAAACTGAATTCACAAAATGAACTTGCTCGAGAATTAACTGAACGGCTTCAGAAAAGTAATGAGGAAGAAGTGGTTTTACAGCAGCAGGTCGATCAGCTACGAACTTTGAATTCACAAGAACGAGAAAATTTGAGACGAGCGCAACAACGGTCTAACGTAATTATTTTGCTTTTAAATTCGTCAGTACTACGCGCTTAATTTAGATGGTCATGTATTTCTTGTTCTTTTTTATTATTAATATTTTTTGTACTCACACATTTTGTTTACTGTGCTGTCTTGAATGTTGCAGGAACAAAATGAGAAAGTAGAAGAACTTAGAACAGAATTAACTGCTGCACATGAGCGAGAAATGGCGCTGAAATGTGAAGTGGGGAAGCTCACTGAAATCATGGCACAGCAAGAAAATTTTTCGGATGAAAACAGGATCAATGATGAAGTCCGAAAAAATAACGTTCGCCTGGTTGGGGATCTTCAATCAGCTCACAAGAAGGTTTCTGTAATTTCATATAGATTTTTGTCATAGCTTAAAAAGTAATTTTCTGACCGCATTTTAATCTTGCAGCTGTTGCAATGAGATTGGAAGATTTCTATCTTGTATACAAGACCATCTTTGTTTGCATTGTTGTAAAAACTGTTTTTGAGACTCGACGTTTGGATTGACATGAGAAAAAATGCAGTCTGTAATTTCGAAATAAATTTTTTTTTCAAGAAAAAGGTAATTTGTTTAGATTGAGCAGCTAACATCAGACTTGAAGCAAGAAATGAATCGCAGGTTATCAATTCAGGATGAAATACATTGTACGAATGACCAGCTTACTAACATGCAGAATTCGCTACATTATCAAGAAAATGCAAGTCTTTTTTTGATGACATGTGTATCCTCCATATCCAAAAACCAGTGGTTAAATACTGAGAGTCTGTTTAGAAGACTTTCTGGTCATGATTGAAAAATTATAGACATGATTTTTGGTTAATAAATACAGTCGATTTTTTTATAAATTCGAGATTTGGCTGACTCATCATTAAATTTTGGATCGTGATCTCTTCATTTAGGAGTTAAGACGTGCTCGCGATGAAAAGCGGCGCTTAGAAGAGCAGTTGCAGAGCTTGTCATCGTTCAGTCGTCTTTTGCAAAGGCAGTTAGAAGACGTTCGAGAACAGTTTGACACTGAATCCTCATTTGTAGTATGTCTCTCTACTTAAAATTTCTTTGATTGTTCTTGATTAATTTATTTAGTAACAATCAAAAGTTTCGCAGCATTCTGAAAAATTTGTTTAAGATTTTTTTTGAGTTTAATGTTAGTGTAGATAGAATATATGATATGAAATTATATAAAGTTTGTACTCATCCAGCTATTTCACATTTTATAGGAATAATGACTTGATGATGAAATTTTAAGAAGATTATGAATACTTATTGATTCCTGAATTCCAGAATATTGCAGGAATGAAAAGTTTACTGCTGTTCATAAAATTTTTTTATTCTTTCATGGACCATTCATCGGCCAAAAATATCTTATTAAAATAATTCACCAGAATTTATATTTTTAACAAAAAATTTTAGAACATATATAAGACTGAAATGAATGCTCTAAATGAAGAACTGTTAGAAAAAACGCGACGCTTGGAGCAACTTGAAGACCATCAGTATAAATTACTTTTCTTGTCTTTAGTATTTTAGTGTGCTTCAAAAATGACGAGAATTAATTGTAAAAATTTATACAGAAAGTTTTCTTTTTTAACACATATTGATGTTGAAGTCTTCTAGAAAACGCGAAGAAGAAAGAACTCGTGATGCACTTGCACAGCTTGAAAGTGAAAGATTGGCGCGGCGTATTGCTGAAGAAAATTTGTCAACAACAGATAAAGGTGCAAACTATAATCTTGCAACTTCTTATGTATTTGTTTGAATTAACATTTTGTAGAAAAAACGATGCTTGAAGTTGAAGTGCGTCAACTTGTGCAACGGCATGAGAAAGAATTAGCAGCAAAAGATGCGGCTATACAGTTGATTTCTCAAAAGGTTTCCTTTTGTGTTCTTTTATTAGCGTGAAAAAGTTTTCCTTCTCTTTCAAATCACGCAATAATCATACACAGTGTTAGAAATCCTGCCCGAAATTACCTTTCATATTGCATGGAAATATTGTAGGTCGATTTTTTTTAGCTTTTAGCTTGCCTGTCTGTATTTCTTAGCATATTGAATAAATTTTAATCTTTTAGGAAGACGAGCTTCAGCAGTCATTGCAAAGTGCTCAAAGTGAACTGCGTTCTCTATCGGAACGAGATTCATCACGAGCATCACCTGAAGAAAGTATAAGAGATCTAAAAAATCAGTTAGAGCATGAAAAAGTGATGAAAACTACTGTAAGTATAATTAAGCAAGTTTTAAGATATTAAAATTTATATTTCTCATAGTGAAGTATGAAGTAACTAAATTCAAGAATGTATATAAAATGTGTTTCATAATTATTTATTTTTTCAGGCTATCAATAAATTAGAAGAAGTGATGGCTCAACGTCAAGCAAATGAGGCGTTTAAAAAAGGTAAAATCAGTCGTAGTGATGCAAGAAGACGCGAAAAAAAGATAGCTGAACTGGAAAAAGATTTAAGAATGGAGCGACAGAAATACGAAGAGAGGGTTATGCAAATTGCTAAAGAAAATGAACAGTTGAAGGCAAGCAGTTGCATTTAGTTTTCTCGGCTACATGAAAATAATTTCAAGAACACTTAAAAATTTTTTTATTGCAAATATGCAATTATTTTTTAATACTTCTATTTATCATAAACCTGTCTATCTCATTCCTTTAGTTACTATAACTAGTTAAGGCGAGTTGTACTTATTAATTATAATTGTTGACAGCTTGCACTAGCAGAAGAAGAAAAAGCTAATGAAAAGCTACGAATTGATCTTGAAACATTTCGACATCTTGAAAGTGCTATGAATGAGCAAAAAAAACGAGAAAGACAAGAAACACATGCTGATCAAGCGCGAATGATGTCTGATAGCCTTTTGCAACAGATAAATGAAGTGAGTTTAATTGATATGTATGCATACTCCCCAAAATTTAGTCAGGTATTAGTTTTCGTATTTGAACTCGTTCAGTTTATAATTTCAATTGTATTTCAAATGTTCACAGTTGGGGTATGGAAAAACTCAGTAATCATAAGTCAGAAATATAGAGATATGAAGCGAGTTTAGAATGATTTGTGTTACGATGGTGCAGTATCGATTCGCTTAACTGTGAAAAGACGACATCAGTGGCAAGAATGTTTTGCAGTTTTCAATTCAGCTGGCCTTTTATTTTATTTGACACAAAATGATCGACAACCTTTCCAAACTATTCAAGCAGAGTACTGATCTATAATTTTTTCAAAATAGTGACGGGAAAATCTGTTAACACAATTTATATCACTGTTTAAACACTGTATGCTAATAGCTCAAAGTATTTATAAATATCCTTCATTATTTTTGTGATGTTTTATTGATTTCAGTAGATTATGTCATGCTCGCCATGTAAGTGCTGCGGATGTCAGGTTTGCTGGTGAAAACCAGTTGCCGCGAATTTTTCAGGTTCGTTAAAACTTCACTAGTCTTAACATCAGGCATATCATAGATATTTTTTGCAGGAATTCAAAAGGGGATTACAATTAATGTAAAGGAATTAATATTTTTTCAAGTTTAAACTAACCAGCACTGTCATATTTATGCAACTTATCTCGGACTTAAGTTATGATCTGCGAGCTTTATTAGTATAGCTGTTTATGGTAGTATGAGAAAGTAATGTATTTTCAGCGTTAGTTGATCAAAGGAAGTGAACAATTATTTTTGATGCATGCATAATTTATATGAATCGCTAATAAAAGGCTAATTTTAATGCGATGTCGGTAAATGCGATGAGAGTACCGATCATTTACTGGAATAGGTGCAATTTAGAACATCAAAATTATTTTAGTTTCTTTTGATTCAGTTGCATGGAAGGTGAAATTATTACCTTTGAAGTTGGATTTCTTAGCTTTGGAGTAGAAATTATGGGCTTTAGAAATAGGCAGTTAAGATTTATTTTTTGACTGCGTCTACTGAAAAGGGTAAAAAACTTGCTTTTTTAAAGCATCTCTGAAAGTTCAGTTCAGTAATATGTAGTACAAATAAACTACTGTGATTGGTTCTGCACCCTTCAGTTGTCCAGTCTCTCTTATTGGTTCTTTATTGTGTTGGCACTGTTGTAGATCTTGTATGGTACTGAGGAAAATTCGTCGTCAAGACGTTCGTCTGTGGCTGACTTGTCATCATTATCAGGTTCGCGCGAGGTTGGTATTTGTATGAACTGTTTTACAATTTTTTCAGTAGTTTTGTCATGCTTTCCTACATTTGAAATATAACGAAAACTTTTTCTTTTGTTTCAATGACTTTGAATTTGCTTACTTAACTTCCTTGCTATTGTAACAATAATATTACCAACTTTTTCATCAAATTCGAAATTCGATATTTTGAATTCAAGAAATTCTTGAAAGTTCCTTATTCAGGCGTGAACTGTTTTCTTAAAAAAATAATTTTTTTGAATTTTATGCATATGAGTTTTTTTGAATTCCATGCATAAAAATTAAATTCTTTCCAGCTGGAAAGACTTTAATTTTTGTTTTTAAGATAGATACTGTTGCTTTTGGTGGGAGAAAGTAAAAGTAAAAGGAATCTTGATGCAGTTGTATTATTTTTCTTACCTTAGTAACTGTTGTGGATTCTTAATATTTTTGAAAGTAAAATTGGAAAATTAGTAAACAGAATATCAATAATATCTGAAGAAAATTTTCGTGGACAGTTTTAAAGTTTTGAGCAAAATTTTGATATCCAGTAAATTTTATGCAGTTGCTTTAATTATCTTTTTTACTTTACTTTGTTACTATTTGATAAAAAATTCTATTATAGTACTGAAATAAGGAGGTTATTTGTATTTAAATAGTAACATTGATTAATATTCATTATAAAGCTCTTCACTAAAGGAAATCTATGTTTGAATTTAGGAAAAACTGGATAAAGCACTATGGAATAGGCATGATCTAGTTGAGCTGACTTTTCACATGCCTACAAACTGTGATCTTTGTGTTAAACCATTGTCAAATTTACTTCGACCTCCACCAGCTTTTGAATGCAGACGTGTGTTTTTTTTTTTCTAAATTTCTACATTAGTTTGCTTTTAATCAGTCTTGGACAGTATTTTCTGTTTAATTTAAATTTTGACTTTGTTTAGGGTGTCGGATGCGTTTCCATCGAGACCATTTAGGAGTTGAAACGATCCCACAGTGCAGGCGTAAGTTTTGCTCTTGCTAAATCTGAAATAGCTAGAGGATTTATTTAATGGATGGAATATTTGTTTAGAAACAGTCGATGCACGAGAAATGTTGATAATGGCTCCATCAGTGGAAGCATGTGTAGCATGGGTACAGCATTTGAAACGCTTCTTAGATTTTAAGCATTCCCAGAAGTTGGTATGTAATGAGATATTTTTTCTCAATTTCTGTCGCATAATCTATGAATAACTTTGTAATAATTAAACAAATTCAGGAGCATGTTATAAACTCAACTTGACAGAATTCTGTATTTGATTATTAGAGAATATAAAATAGTTATGCCTGATTTTTCTAGGGCACACCATTGCCACGTTCAGGTAGCTCGATGAAAGTACCTAATAAATCTGCAAGTGTTCCTCGTTCTGCTACTCTTCCAAATAATTCACTTATTTCACCTGTAGCTTTGTGAGAACAAAGCTATGATTTTGTAATCAGGGTGTAATGTGTCAAATCGTTTCTAATTGTTGTAGGCAAGAGTATTTTCTAAATTGTGTAAATTCTTAAAAACACGTTGTTACTTATTGTAGGATTGTTTTGTTGACTTAAAAAGAGTGCTTTTACAAGCACTTTTGCCTTCACATTCATTGCATTCTCTTTTCTATTTTGCCTTTTAGGTGCCTTGAATTGTTTAATTAATTCACATTATAAACAGAACTTTGCTATTTCATTTTTTTCATCGTTGTGAAAAACCCTCTAAATCTGGTTGTTTAAAAAAGGCAGAAGTATTTTATTTATTCTAGCAGGTAGTTGTAGCACCTTAATTTAGAAACGAAATCGAAACATATTAATTGCTGAAGGAAATCTTAATTGAGAACTGGAACTTATTTGTTTTGGAAATAAAAGTATAACATATTTATTTTTGTTCACAAATTTCATTTTATCCATTTCTTTTAATTGTATTTGTTAGTACCTGGTTTCATCCCACCTTCTGAATCGATGTTAATTTGTTTCTTTAGCGTTGTTTGTTTGTTTGTTTCACTGCATTTTGATACAGAGGTTATACCAGGATATTTGATAGTGGGAGATCTTAATTTGTATGAGCTAATTCTTTTGTGTCTTTGAGCATTTGTTTAAAGTATCAGTTCTAGCGTGTACAGGTTTGTTTTTGATATTTTAGATGACTCCGTCAACTCTGGATCAAAAGTTTTTGTGTTGTATAAATCTCTGTATTAATGAAAATAATAAGTGTTTATGTTTTGTGTAATCAGCAGTACTATAAACTCGACTATCATCAGTGTTTTTTCGTATCTCACTCATGATGCAATATTTTTCAGATTTCTAATAAATTATTTTTACTTCGCAGTTAGTGTCTTATGCATCTAATTGGATACTCCTATATTCTACGCTTTACTTGGAAATTTGAGATCAGCTTTATTTCATGTAAAAGGCCTATGAAGGGAAAGCCAATACGCGGTTGTTTCAGTACTGTCCATCATTGAGCTTTCACTTTCGTTCTGTTTGCTTTTCACTAATGTGTTATTCAAAGTGATGTTGTATAAAATATAAAACTGTATATTGGGTATGGATGCTGGAGGTCTGGTAGAAGAATCACAGTATGTAGGTAATGATTCATCCGAATTTTTTTTGTTTCATAAATTTCTTGCAAAATTAAGAGATTAATTTTTCAAGCCCTCATTTCTAGTCGAAAGGTGACTTGTACTGATTTGTGATATTATTTTATTGTGCAGCATGAATCTAGTGAATAGGGAATCAAAACAACGTGAGTAGATGTTATAGAAAAACTAGAAGAACCGATCGTAGAATTGCCATTACTGATCTCTGCTGGTTATGATCAGTGTATCAAGTTTTGGGATGTTGCAAGAAGCGAGGCACGAGAGAACTTCATTCATAAAGAATCACAAATTAACATGATGCGTATTTCATCTGATGGCATGTTTCTGGCAATTGCTGGTTGGCAACATGCTCGAGTTTATAATCTGAATGTGAATGTTATTACTTAAGTTTCTATCTTTTAATTTTATACTAGTAACCAGTCCTAAGTTTGTGCTGTCATAAAAGAATTTTGATAGAAAAGATATTTTTTATAGACATGGGATGTGTAAATTTGTGGTTCTTGAAATACTAATTCAAGGTATCTCCTCCATCGCTAGCGTGTTCGTGTGAAGGAGTGGTCAAAAATGTTACAACAATCGGTTTTGATGAACGTTCAAATTGGATCTTTACCGCCGGTGAAGACTGTTCTGTAAGAATCTGGGATTTCCGTTCTTCATTACAATGTCGAAAAATTTTCCAGGTCGTATTACCAATTAAAATAGTTCTCTGGATCAAGCAAAAAATTATGACAGAAGATAAATTCTTTATTAACTTATTTGAATGCTATCTGTTTCTTTTCAAAATTCATGTGAGTGAACGTGATTTTTTTTCTATTATTTTCTTGAATTTGTTGATTCAAAATAAGTTTAAGGAACAGACGACTACAAATATGAGTTTAAAAGTACTTTATCGTTCTAGCTTTGTAGATAGTCTAAATAAAAAATTCATTAGCGAACAGTGAAGTTTTCGTTAACTTTCTGCCCAAATGACATGTTTCTCATTTGAAAGTACTATATTATTTTGCAAGACAAAGTCTTTTTAAATTAATCATACGTTATAATATTAAGAATCTATGCGATCGTTTCATTTATTGATGAAAACCAAGGTCAAACATAAGTGGTTGGATTTGATTTAATTATATCAGAAGAATAATGCCATGTCTCTGTGACATGATTGTATCGATAACATTACATATTTTTTAGACATTGCAAGTTAATTCAAGCGTGAACTGCATCGTCATTCATCCAAATCAGACAACTCTTATTATATCAGATGTTTCTGGATCTTTGTACTTTTGGGATGTTAGAAATAAAAGCAGTGATATGTATTCAAAATTAGGTCTCGAAATTTTTGAACATGTCACATACATTGATATCAGTAAAACAGCTGAATTACTGGTTGGTGTAACAAATAAAGGAAAACTGATCCTATGGTCTGTGGTGTCCAACTCTGATCTCAATGGGACTACTACGACTGGTTTTGGATTGTAATGTTTTAACAAAATTTGTAGCTGAAAATTGTAGAGAGCAGATGACGAAGCGCTTATAGCTGTTTAGTCGTAATAAACTATCACTAAATTTGTGATAGTATTTTAATATAAGTTTAGAAATCAATATAGTCACGTATTATACGGAAGGAAAACGACAAAAAGTTGAGTCATAGTGTGAATGCATATTTTCGCCTCAGTTTTAGAATACTTTGTTTTCCATTACACTAATTTTATGAAGGTGTGATTTGGTGCTATTAAATTTCATATTGCAGGAAACAAAAAGCGAAAGTTGTCGCTCACTCAAAATATGCCTTAAGATGCCACTTTTCACCTAATTATAAAGTCATTGCAACGACTGGCGCTGATGGTTATGTGTATTTATGGGATGTTACAAATATTACTACCCCTGTAAAGTCTCTCTATATTGTCTCTGATCCAATGAATTCAACTCCAGATAAAGTATAATTTTTGTATCTCAAACATTTCTAGCATTGCTAATAAAAATTGATGGTGACAGTAGGAATTAGAACTATTGTTTTAAAATTCAGAGACATGACAACGAAATATGTATAGTGAAAATAGTATTAATACCCAATAAGGTATGCAGTTGTTTTTCATTTTATTGTCACCGCTAATTTTATCATAATCATAGTTATATTTCAGATGGAATCACAGTGGGTTTGGGATTGTGCTTTTACATTAGATTCGAAATACCTTTTCACCGCATCTGGTTGTCAGTTGAAGCTTTGGAATCTCGAAACTGATGAGGTATACATATATATATATACATTTATTACACATGTGCGTTGCCGATCTTAAATAAAAGCTTAAATAGTCTGTTGTATTTTAGCTCGTGCGCCAGTATCAAAGTCACAACAAAATGATATCCTGTTTTGCGTTTCGAGACGGACAATATTCCTAATAAATAAGTAAATAGTTCATTATGATAATTGTGAGTTTTATGTATTTTTTTAACTGAGTTATTCGAGAGTTACGTTATTTATGATAAGTTTTATGCAGTACGTTGAAAATTGCATATATTGTACATTTTTGATTGTGAGGAAATTTATAAGTTCTTATTGTGATGTTATAATAAAAAACCATTTTGCTTGCTACTTAAATTTTTCAAGGCTAACTAAAAACGTTATTTGCATCAAACCTTTCTACCAGTTTGATGTTTTGAAACAGAAAGCATTGTATATTAACTATTTTGGGTGTAATGAATATTAAGGAAAGACTAAATATCGTATTACTGAGTTGGCTACAAAATTAATATGGACTTTTTATTTTGGACTTTGATTTTTTTAGCTCTTTACGAATTTGTTGCATAGTAAAGTCAGCATACAAAAAATAATTTTAATTGTTAGAAATGAATCACAATTTTTGCTCAAGTATTATAAGTTGTAGGCAATTATGAATATTAACTTGCAGTTATCGATCTACATGGCTCTACTTTATTTTTGTGTTCAAAATTTTTTATTAGCGCAGGTAGATATTAGTATTGAGAGATCAGAATTGTGATAAGCTGATTGTAAATTCGTTGTATATACGTTTAACCTACATTTTAATGAGATACAGTCACATGCAGGAAAAGGCATTGCTCAATTTATCCGATAGTAAATTATAAGAAACCATTTACAACGGTTGTATTTATAATTGTTGTGATAAGTGAATTCCTGTCAGGAAGTGCAAGCTGCATTTTAGCTTTGATAAAAGCAGTTAATGTTATGAACTAGATAAAATTGGGGATTGAAGGTTCTTTTAATTTATTTGGTACTTGTACTTGTTACTTGTCGATAAATTTTTCAAAATATTAATGAATTAGGGAATACTCACTTAAATGTGTGGGAAAGAATAATATTCAGTTGCGACGCATAGGAAAATCTTATCATTAGTACACTACATTTTATGTATATTGACATTACTATGCAACAAATTCGTATAAAGCTAAAAAAAAAATTAAAGTCCAAAACACTTATGCACTTAGTGTACATATTTGTACAATATGATAATGTATTTTTTTTAGATGCTAAGAGTGTTTTTCAAATTTATTACATCGTAAGACACATTCTCGCTGACAACAGCGTTGGAGTGGTAGACTATTAACAATAAATCTTGAGAGAGTTACAGATTCTGTATGAAAGATATCTGATGAAATGGAATCGGAGGAAGAAACTGAAGCGAGGAGACTCTGGAAGAAAGCAGATGCAGTGTGCTTTGATGTGGATTCCACCATTTGCATGGATGAAAGCATTGATGAATTTGCTAGATACTTGCTTCATTATGAAGAAGTTCGTGAGTACACAGAGCAAGCTGTGAGTGGTATGCTTTCATTCAAAAAATCATTGAATATTCGTTTGGATATTCTTAAACCTACACGGCAACAGTTACAAGATTTTATGGAGAATAAAACACCGAAATTAACACCTGGAAGTAAAGAGATAATTGCTGATATACATCGTCGACATATACCTTATATTTAATTAGTGGTGGATTGATTGATTTGATTTTACCTGTTGCTAAAATTTTTGGTATTGCTGAAAAAGACATCTATGCGAATATTTTGATAAAAACGGTATTACACTGGCTTTGCAGCGGTAGGTAAGTCAAATTTATTAACATATGGCAAGGGAACTGTTTGCAAGGATTAAAAAGAGACAGAGGATATAAAACGCTGGTAATGATTGGTGATAGTGCAGCAGATTCGGAAGCATCTTCGCAAGTTGATTTGTTCATCAGATTTGGCGTTAATCATTGTTGTGAAGTAGTGAAAATAAAACGCTGGTAATGATTGGTGATAGTGCAGCAGATTCGGAAGCATCTTCGCAAGTTGATTTGTTCATCAGATTTGGCGTTAATCATTGTTGTGAAGTAGTGAAAGAGAAAGTTCCTTGGTTTATTCACAGTTTTTATACTTTGAGGGAAAATTTACCTCAGTAAAAAAAAATAATTGCTGTACATTATGATCTGCATTTGAATTGCTAGCTGTTTTTTATCATTTCTTAAATTGATTTATCACTTGTTAAATCGTTTTTCATTTATATTGACAGATGTATAACTTTATACTCATTGACCAATATTTGAATTTTTGATTTCTCCGCGTAACTTTTCGTTAACGTTTCTGTGAATAATAAAAACTGATATGAAATAGTTTACTAGAATTAGTAACTGTAATATATGTCAATTTGATGATTATGTAATTGATGATGAATCATGGACAATATAAAATTGTATATTATAAAGATTTACCAGAAATTGCTCATCAAATGGACAAAAGGTTAAAAGGCGTATATCACTCACAATCAACACATGAAAATACTAAATGCAGCATTTGATTATTATGATCCCATTTCTTACCGTCAGTATTGTATATTTGGATATGTGAGCCTATCGGTTTGACCACTTCAAGTATATCGCAGTTGTTATTAATTGCGGGATTCTCATGACGAAATGTGTGTTTGCAGTACATGATGGAATTAATGGTATATGCAGATTTCACTGGTTTTCTGAAAAACCTTGTGATCCTAAGGAAACTGGGATCTTATTATTCCCTCTGGTCTTTATTTACTCTAGCTCTTTTTTATGCTCTTAAGATCTTATTGTTAACTTAGTATTTAACATGACAGAATCCTAGTCGGGATATATTTATGCTGAAGGAAACTAGAAGTGCTGCTATGGAATTTCACAATAGCTCTTGAAATGCCAATTTGTTTGATTTGTTTTTATCTGAATAGAATCCACTGTCAGCGTTATTGTTTTGCGTATATTGTGATAGAAATGAATTTCTGATTAGAAAGTGTGACTTCTATTATAGAACGAGAGATGTTCGCTCGTAAAGTGAAATCAGCAGATTTCACAGCATCATTGCAGCGTTTTGTCGACTTGCATCGTGACTGTGCTTCGCGAGCAAAACATCTCAAGCTTGCTCTTGATGCTCTCTGTATACAGGTTTATTTTAAGTGATTACTTTTCATTATGAATTGTGAAGAAAAAATTCAGTGATAAAAAGAATATAATATTTATTATCATTTGCTTAGGATAGTAGTAACCTTAACCGAGTTGATTTTTGTTTATTGCCGAAATTCATCTCTTCTATCGTGAAATATATTTTTTATTTTTAGTATTTAATTGTTTGACACTTTTTTTAGTCGTTATTGCCTTCATAACTTCTCAATTTTTGCTGTAATTTTTGTAGGATAAACGGCAGTTCATGGAAGATTATAGTTTTGAAACATTTCATCTCGTCGATGAATTACTACTTCAAGCTGATCTTACTCAAACAACTCAATCAGTTCTTGAGGCAGAATCAGCTTTATGGGCACTTGAACAATTATTATGTTTTGCACCAAAATTAGTTGGCAGTGGTACGACTTGTAATACTTATATTTTCTACTATAAATTTTGTAACATTTAAAAGCTACTCTTTTAGGTTGGCAGAAGCATGCCATTGAGTATGTTTTAAAGAAAGCGCTCTTTCCGCACAATTTATTAGCCGTTAGAAAAATAGCGTTGCGTCTGTTTCTTATTTGGTATCAAAGTTTGGCAATTTTTAATAACACTAATTCTCAGCTAGATACTGTCTTTCAATGTCTTCTTCCAAACTTTCCTTTAAGGTTAGAATGTTTTCACTTTATCAGCACAGAATTTTTGTAATAACATGTTACATTACATTTAAATGAATAAACCATCACATTTCCTTGATTAGACAGTTTCGTTATATATTTGCAGAAATAATTTATCTACAGAAAATATTTTGCATAATTATTGTCAGTCTGCTGCGACTGCGGCAGGACCAGGACCTATTCGAAACGCACCTCTTGTAAGTAACCAAAATAACGTTGCACCAAATGCCAAGGAAAAAGCGCAATTACTGCAGGTAATTATCGTACTTTTAAAAACAGTAACTTACCATTTGTATATCAATTTTAAATAATGTTGTGTGAACGACTATTGAGCTTTTCAGGTATATTTGGATAAATTCCTTGAATATTGTACTCGAGAAACCATTCGAATTGAATGGGACGATGAAAACATTCGCTTGGAATGTGCCAAATTTATACTGGACCGAGTAATTGTTCTTTATATTTACGAAATATTTCCTGATATAGAAGCAAATGGTGTGGATATTTATGGTGGATGGGAAGGCAATGAGGGGTTAGCAGATGTCCGTGATACTGCTGATCCTATTGTAATTGCACGTTATTGGCTGATTAGGTTGGTTGCAACCTATTTTCACATGGCTTTATATCTTTTAATTTTCACCAGTAAAGTAATATGAGCATAATTCTTAAAAAAGTTAATTTGCAGCCGGATATTTAAATGCGTGTAGAACTCTGCTTCATGTTAATACTTGGAGGGTAGCAAAGAATTGAAAAAATGCTACATGGAATATTTATAGATGGATGGCATCAGTTGCACTTACTACGAATAATGATTTGGCGGTAGCGGGTCAAGTTTTGTATCGGAAAGCTTTGTTTTCTAGTCGAAAAGCAACGAATACTCTTCTCACGCTTCTGAAAGAGGCTGTAATGTTACCTTTGCCTTGTTCAAACGTTATTCATAAGTTAAGCTTTACAATTAATTTCACTATATTAAAATTTGTTTTTATTAAAGCATTTTTTATGACAAATTAGGTCATAAAAGTATTTTTTATTTCCTTCAATAATAAAAAAGTTTAATGAATGTTGTCGAAATTTATAATTAATGCTGTACGCATGTTTATAACCGGTTTTAATTAGAATTGTTTTTTATTATATGTAATAACAAAATTATATCTCCAAGTGATAGTTTTGTCCACAGTGTTTGAATTTCTGGTAGTGATTATGATAACAACTGTTTTTCTTAACAATTTAAGATTTTAATTGTCTAATATTTATAAGATCTTTTCAAAAAGCAAGTACCTGTTTCAAACAATCCACTATGTGTTTTAAACTGAATCTTTCATTAAAATTATTCATATCACAAAATGAGTATTCCCTTTTTAATCATTTATTATTTTATACTCTATGAATATGATGTTTTAGGTATTTTCTCTGATTAGTTCATGGTTATTACAACGAAATTTACCCCCTTTCATTGATGAAGGAATTACAATTGATACGTTATCTCTGTTGCTCATCCATTTCCTTACTTCATTTTTTCACAGCCCGTATTTGTCATTAGCTGGGGAACGTTTATCTTCTGCTATATCTTTAACTCAGAGTTTGCTGCAAATCACTCGTGATCTTTCCAGTCCTTCAACTTCATTACAAAAACCTTTATCGACCAGAGTTTGGTGTGAACTTATTAGAAGTCTTGCGGAAGGCATACGCACTGTCACTTCAAGGTTAATTCAAGTTCATTTTCTTAGTCATTCTGTAATATTCTACTCTCTAATAAATGAAAGAAACATGAAGATATGTGTCATGAAAGAATTGAAAAAAAAATGTCCATATAATTTCTTGCTCTGTATTCTTTTTATCTAGATCCGATGCTTATGGCCGTGCAACTTCTGGTGCCCTTTCACAAAATCTTCTGGGTGTTATTGTTTTTGTTCGAGCTATTAGCGGTTAGCTTATTTTTGCTTAATCTTTAATCTCATCAGATTAGAATACGACATTGTTGAGTTTTTAGTCTGGTGTTTTAGAAGTTATATTGAAATTACTTACTTTTGATTTTTTTTAGGCGTAGCAGTAGATGAAAAAGTATGGGATGATGTTTTAGCAGTGTTTCAGTCTGGTTGTTGGATACAAATGATTGAACAATGGAGTCGAGTTGTCGATAGTGTTACTCGTGCGCTTATCTTAAACCTTTTTGAGGTTGATATTGCCCCATGTGATCAAATGGTCTGTTTAATTATTTTAATATATATATTTGTAATGCGAATGGAGAAGGGACTAAGCATCTTATGTTTTTTATGATTATGAAACAATTTATGAAATCGGAAAAGTTCCATTTTTTTGTATATTTTGCTCATTAGGAGGAAAAATTGGTCAACTGCGTTTTCTATAATGTTTTTTGATGACTTTTTGTAGGCTTCTCACCAAGTAGTCAAAAGAATGAAAAGCAATGAAACAGTCAGTGCTCCAGATGGTGCAAATATAGAGTTTTCTGAAGAAATTCGGTCGGAAAATAGTTCTGTTGAGGATGACAATGCGCAGATTACTTCAGTTATCCAGGTGATTAATTACAAGTTCTAATGATATCTGTTGATAGCAAACCCTTTCAATTTTGCACATTGAATTACAAATAATTGGAGTACTCAAAATTACGAGCTTTTTCTTTCTGTATCCAGAAATTTCTTTATAATCTCTTTTACACTATCGTATGAAATCTTTCATGAGATCCTTCTATGATTCTCATATATTTATATGAGAAAATATTTTTGACAATTATTCATGGTTTTCTAATTTTTCATTCAAAAATCTTTATTTCTGTTCATCCCTTGAACCATTTTCTTATTTGTAGCTCAGCCAGAAGCTATGTATTTATACAGTTGAAAATAGCCAAAAATTGCGTCATTTTTCTCTGACTTTTTAAATTTACGAAGTTGTGAGTTGTAATTTAACAGCGTAACTTATAGTTGAGCAGCATAAATTATGGTTATGAGGTCTAAATTTATCATTTATTCATTTTATCATTCATCCTCAGCATTTTACGTTATGTATGAAAAATAACTTCTGTTCTTTGGAAAATTAAGATAATTAGAAATGAAAAGTTTTTGTACTTCATTTTGTTGAAAATTTGTAAAAAATGTAGAACATATATCTCACCACACGTTTAGCATTCTGATTATGATTATGAGTAATTAATGGAGTAGATTCAAGCTCTTTTCTTTACATCATTGCCTTGAAGTAGGCATGGACTATTCTTATATTATTTATGCATTAGACATAAGAACTTCCTTCTCATCTTTTCTACAGCTTTTAAAGTTTGCAGTCAGTGTACAAATGTTGTTTTATTTCCTTATTATGGGAACTGTATTGTGGTGCTGGAGAAGAAATGATTTTAAAGTTTATTCAGCTGTTTGGCTTGACATGGTAGCCTCTCACTGTGCCACTGATTCTTTTTATAGCCGAAACAACTTAGCAGTTTTCATTGTGCTCATGCATTAACAAGGACTAGTTGGGGTACATTCAAAATGATTTTTTAATTTGGTGTTGTCTAATATTTTGGATCGTTTTGGTTTTTCACGGTTAATGTCTTTGCGTTTTCTTGTTATTTAAGCATCTAGTTATTTTCAGCATATCCCTCGATCAAAAACTTTTACTTTTTTTTGTGTTAGTTTATTAAAAAGTGAACTTAATTTAATGCATGTATGATTTTTTACAAATTTTGTTTCATGGAAAGAATGGAGATTCGATTCATGATAAGATTGTGGTTCTGTTTTTCGAACTAAAATTCGCAGTAACTTTATTTTTATAGCTTATTTCCTAACTTTAAAGTTTTGCACGGTAAGTCACTGCAAATTGGAAATTTACAGTGATTTAATCTCAGATAAAATTTTTCTAGTCTACTTTTCATAAATTGTTAAATAAATGTTTCATGTTATATAACTGGTCCATTAAAAAAATCCTGGGTAATATTGAGAGAAAGCACTAATTAAGAACTGAATTTAATGATTATTTCGTAGCTTTGACTGACAGTTACAGTTACTGGGCGAAATTAATAGAATAATTATGCTTTAAAGTGTTTACTTTCCTGCAGGACATTTCGCTTTAAAAACCCCTTGTAACAGAATTTTTTGTGTTTTAGTTTCAGTAATGTGGAATGGAAATTTGACAAGACTTGTATTAGTGTGAAAAGTTGCAAAAATTGAAAATAATGCTGAGAAGAATTTCGCTTGTACATTCAATCACTTTCAATTACAAAGAAAGATCAGATAAAGTTTAGGACAGCCATTAGTCTATTTTTGGCTTCCTTCAAGTACTACCCATTTGATCTGACCAAAAAATATTCTCATCGTCAGCGCAGTAAAATTTCCCAGAGAGCACTACTTTTAAAGAGTTTTTCTAATATGCCGGAAATTTTCAAGTTTTATGATTTATCTAAATAATGAAGGTGGATCAACAAAGAGCTTCAATCTAAAATATGTGTGTGATTTCATATGGATGAATGATTTCATTTTATGTTAGAAGGCGTTTGGTTTAGCTGATGAAGCTTTAGATATTTATTTTAATGATGGCACTTCAATTATTATTAATTATTAATTAGTAAATAAATTGATTAATTGAGATTATTAGAAATTTAACTAGTGCATGCAGGAACAGCACCAATTTCAAGATATCAGGTAATATCAGATAATGTATCTGAAGTATCTTAAAACATTGCATATTTATTACATTCTCTTATAAAATAATTTTCGTTTTGCTTTTAAAAATTTATATGATGATGTTTGTTTCCATCATCTGTTAATTTCATTAATTTCAACTCACATTGCCATAAACTTGCATTTTTCACATTCTATGCAAGTGCCACCAATCCGATTATTTTTATTTTTTGTTTAAATTTGATACTCTGTTGTCAGTCTTTCATTTTGCATTTTTTGCTCATTATTATTTATATTTATCTAAATTATAGTTAGTATGTAAATCTGGAAATTTAACTAAAATTGAATTGTAAGTTGAGCATAAATCTAGTTTTCATTCATAGTACAATTAAGGTAACTTCAGAAAGTCTTATGTCATGCATTGCATTATTACTATTACTTCTCATGTTTCAATGCGTAACATACGATGAATGGAAATTTTCCGGTTTATTTTGTTTACGCTATTATCTGTGAATTATGATCATGTTTAATTGATTCATGGCTATTAATTCTGAAAAATGGAAAAAATTTTCGGTTGTTGGCATTAATCATTCTTCATTAAACATGGAAACTTTCTCTAAATCCTTCATACGTTATATATATTTAGATAAGGTTTGTAATAGCATTATAAATAGTAGTTTAACGCTACAAATATAAGTGGATTAAATTACATGTTATTCGTTTCTCGAGCTTATCATCATGTGTTACTTTGAACTCTATTACTGTTTATAATGTTATCACACGAAATAATGTTTATCAAAATCTAGGTATCACCTCTGCACGCAGCGCATTCTCATCTTGCTATTCAAAATAGAAAGCTTCTTTTTTTTTAGTAAATCTATCAGCCTTAACTAAATACAGCAAAGATTGCATAGTTCAGGGTTGAGAGTTTCTTAAGAATGTATTATCCTAGCTTGGTATTTTGGTAATGTTTCAAGTATTATCATTTATTTTCGAATGTGTCATCATATAAGAATTGATTTTGACGGTAATTCGAAAGTCTTGCATTGTACATAAAATGGGGCAGGAACATGTTATACAGAATTTGGCTCTCATATGATCTTTATTTTCTCAAACTTGAAGGAAATTTAAATTATGCTTCTAATTATTCGTATGAATTTTATAGTCAGCTGGTGATTCTGCAGTGTGGTTGAGGGTATGGATGCGAATTGTTAATTTGGTATCACCTCTGCACGCAGCACATTCTCATCTTGCTATTCAGGTCAACAACTTCATATTTATTTTCACATTATTAAGCTGCAGTTTTCACTAATTTTTTATATGAAACAGTTTAATTAATGCTCCTTATTTGTACCGATTTTATTCCTTAAATATCGTATCCTGTGTTTTCAGTTATTATATTAAGTGTTCACCTTATCAAATTTGCGATAATTCATTTGCAATACAAGTGTTAGAAATTTTCATGTGAAATTCAGGTTATATAATTAATTTGAGTTCAAAAATACTTCACTTGAGACAAAATTTGCAGTTAGTTGCAGATAAAATTCATCGTGGAAGATACTGATTTGTTTGGTACGATATTGTTCCATGTAATTGATTGTACAGGCAAATTTGTGATGCTCATTATAGTGAAGCTTACATATTTGACTGGCAATATGACAAAACAAATCACTACTTTCATTAACAGTAAAAGTTGACTTAAAATCTTAAACACTTTATTCATTTGTATTACAGACTATTTCAAAAACCATCAACACACTTCTTCGATTGAGTGATACTGATGCATTGATACACTGGATCTGCACTCGGTTATTGCTTCTTCCACCTTCTGGACACGCTCATTGTTTACCTGCTTATTGTGCTGTACTTACAACTGTCAATCCACCACCCCTTGTTGAGGTTAGATCTATTACCTTCATTTTTTCAATATTATGTTTTATAGCCAAAATTGTTATCAGTTTTTTAATTTATTTGTTTTTATAATGTCGTTATTGTCAACTTTAGGCTCATATTTTGCTTGCACTGGTTCGAGCAATTGTTTCTGAACGTTGTACTAACGTTTTGGATTATATGCCTTCCATGTCTAAGGATTATCTTACAATACTGGCACGTCCAGCTCTTAGTTTGCTCACGCAGCTCATTAAGCAATCTAATTTTTCTCCAAGAAGTGTACAGGTTAGCTGTAAGCGTTTACTAATGTTTAGAAGTGCCAGTTGTTCTATTATTCTTAGTAAAGAAAAGCCAATATTTAGAAATAAAGGAAATCAAAAAGTTATCTGATTGATGTCTCATAAAGGAAACTTTGTTGTTATGATAAATATAAAGCGTTTCTAGATTAGTTATCATTAAATTCATAAAAGTTTCACATACAGGGTGTTACTTTTGAAAATTTTACAGGTTGCTGCTCTTCTTTCCCCTGATCATGCCATGGGTGAAACGCTTTTACTCAATTTAATTGCATTGAATTCTAGTGAAATACCACTGCAATCGTACTCTTTAGCATTACATGCTTTAGCTTTGCTCATTATTGAGCGAGCTGATGCAAAGTTGATGATGGAAGTAATAAATCGGATTTGTAGTCTTAAAACTTGTGGTACTTTGCTTCATCTGTTTTGTGCTGACTTAAATCAGTTAACACGACTTGGCTTGCGCGATAAATTAGCCATTGTACTAGAACAAGCGTTGGATTTGGTATGCTTTCAGTTGTAATTTGTTCTTACTTGATAAGTAAGATTTTTTTTTTTTT